CGATTTTTAAAATTCGCGCTCACAGATTGCGAATTAATACGTTAGGTATTGGAAAAAGTAGATCCTTTTCCGCGGTTTTACCGCATAACTTGTCGCCATTGTTTTTAATATATTTTTATCCCTTCCAAAAAAATGGAATGAAATGACTTCATCTCAAACCGTAATTTTTGTCTCATCTATATACAAAAAATATTAAAGTAATGGTTCATTCCTCCAAAAATTTGTGGTGAAACTAAATAAGTTAACAATTCTTTGTCTACTTATCATTGAATAAGTGGTGGAGCGGACGTTGCGTTGCAATCATGCTCTTCATGACGACGGTGATGATGATGTTTTCGTAATTTGACAATGAAAAACAGCAAGCGGAAGGATCCCACGGCGCAACATTGACGAAGACAACGGTGGCGTAATTTCGACTGAGAAAACTACCTGTGACAACGAAACAATGGCATCAACTATTACGCATTGTATTTCTGAGTGTGTGAGTAAGCAAGGAAGTTATTTTTTAAGCAGAATTAATTTAGTCTGAGACAAATTGGACCGACCGACGGACGATCGGGTACAGACAAAAATGACGAGCCTTCCCTCCTCATTTGACGGAATCAATCAAAATATCCGAATTTGTGAGGAGAACATTTCCCAAAAATTATTTGAAATGAATTAAAACAAGTGTGTAAGTATTTGACCATGATACGAGGAGAGAGAGAGAGAAATTTTGAATCAGAGTGCATATTTAATATCGGCTTTCCTTTGTGGAGGGGGAATGATTAGGGGTAATTACAGGGAAAGACCTTGGAGCTTCCGAAGCCGCGTCACACATGGAAAAGGTTCAAACACTCGTTTTTGTTGTTATCCTTCCACCACCACCACTTCTCATTCTCTTCGTCTTGGAAGGCAGGATGATTCCGTCCGACTCTCTCTGTGAGAGACTCTGGTGTTCTTTATCCCTGGCTTTGGCTACATCTCTATAAAGGCCACACACACAAAACCACTCTTTTTATAAAGCACGGCCTATTGCACGCAGTAAATTCTTGTTTAGTGGCCGGCCCTTTAGCTAAAGCACCATTGTTGTAATTTCCTAATCTCAACATTATTCATAAACATCTCTCCATTCAGTCGCATTCCTCCTCGTGAGATGATGATGATGATTCCCGTTCTCGGAGATATTCTCAAATTTATACATGAGCTCTTCAATGAGGCAATTAACACCAACGACTCTCTCTCTCTCTCACTCTCCAGCACAATCTAATAACCGTCGTAGCAGTTATTTTACTTAAAACTTTGCGCTTTCCAATTTTCCTAAAATATTAATAACTCACGGCTCTAAAAAAGATTGGTCGCTGTGGTGCCGACGACTTGGATTCGTTTCGTTTTTTAAAAAACCAAAAGTTATGAATGTTCCCTCGAGATCTTATTGCTGTCTGCACGTTCGTAATAAAAAACAACAACTCTCTTCACCAGTCAATCCGGCATTTATCCAAGAATAGCGAATAAACAGAGTTTTTTAAAATATTAGTATATGCATATGGATAAGTATAAGTATGTAGTGGGTGGGTGGATGGGTGGAAATCTTGTATAGTTGCCAGACCAGAATAATATGTACATACGAAACCCGGCTCAATTTCAACACGCAGTAATAAATGAAATGATAAAGAGAACTTCTTCTTATCCACGTCGTCGTCGTCGTCGTCGTCAGTGCATAACAACGCAACGGCTGGAATTCAACCGTGTTTGTCTCCAGTTTATTAGTGTAATCATAACCTAACGATTCCTCTATTGATTACCTTCTTCTTTTTGTGATGATGCCTAATTCACCCCTTCCAATCCCACTCGCAAGAATCACTCGTCCACATCTCGGCCTTATTTGCTCTTTCTTGCCTTCTTTCTAATAATGCAATGTGAATTGCATGGCGTTATGGCGTCCCCTGAGAAAACTACTTCGCCAGTCAGAGAAGAAAGAAACCTATAAAAATATTGGAATAACGAGTTCGTAAAAACTTCTGAGTAAAAATTACCAAGAATTATTACAAGTCTTCCGCTATGAAAATGGAGTCTATTTATTGCTCATACTTATTGACTTGACGGACTATAGAGTACTATACGTGCGTACTAACAATGATACATAATGATGATGACGATGGGACTGTGCACGTACGTTTTCTGCTACCGTTTGTCGCAAATAATAGGGTGCTTTTTATTACTACATGCCAAACGATCCCCGGACTCCCAAACTTGCACGGATTGACGAAATAAGTGTGCTCAATGAGCGAGAAGGCATATTTTTTTAAGTCCATTTGACATGCAAAAGTGCAGTTGTCATTTCAGTTTATTCAAAGTCATTGAAAAAACACTCTTTTTTCTCCATTTTTATTGCACTTGTTCACGGAATCCTTCATAATTATGGTTTCCTCTGCTCAATTTATTTTTTACATGGGTTCGAATGCTAAAAAAAGGTGGATGAGAATCTATTAGAACGTATGAGTATTGTTGGCAGGCGTTATTTATACGGTCGTAAAATAAACCTTGTATGTTTTCCAGGCCAAAGTGACCTGACCTGCAAAATTGGTGGTTGTTGGTGGTCTAGACCCATTTATTGGGTTTAATTGTTTCGGATCAGGGATTGATTACTGGGCATGATGATGAGAGGAGGGGACGAAATAACCGGACTTGAGGCCTACACATGCATAATATGCACGTATGTATATACGTGTTTGCAATATGTATGCAATATAATGAAGAGAAATACGGGAATAGGAAAAAGTGGATTAATTTGACTGATCTTGGAGGGATTAGGTTGGGTGGATTGCAATTCAATGAATCATGATCACCACTCGGATCAAGGCGGAATGAGAAAGTGGTGGATTTGTGCATGGACGGAATACGAAAAATTGAAAGTTGTCGTCCTTATTCCTCAAAAACTTTGCGTAGGCTTCGTGATATCTCTCCGGATTGAGTGCGTCCTTATTTAGCAGGGCGGGCAGCAGATTCGGGCACATTTTACATAATGGTCGTCGAAGGAAGCAGTCGCGTCTGTCCTCTCAAAGAAGCATTTTGTCTCTCTCTCTCTCTCGCAGGGAAGGAAATTGGTTTCGCTTCAACGAGTGTGCGACTTCTTGCGAGCCAAGGAAAACATTTGCGGCTCTTTTACCCATCATGTTAATCTATCCTTGTTAATTTATGTTGGGTTAACAACAACATGCATTCTTTATAATCTGTATTTATTACTTTCCATTCCAACCAAGTTTTCCTAAGGAAGGGAACCATGTCTCCGCTAATCATGCCAGACCGTAAATTCTCTCTCTCTCTCTCTCTCATCTACATGTAAGGTTAGGTTAACATTCCACGTTGCATTTCATTTCCAGCAGGAGAAGAAGAGCTATTGCATGCACCATCAATTCACCAGTGCTGCATTAAGTACAACGTGATACATACATTCATTGAGTTCGTCATTATCTTGTAGTCTTGTCGTCAATATACACTCTGCGTTTAATTTGGATCTCGGGAAGATCTATGCTCTTCTTCCGCCCGACCGCCCATGGTAATATTGCAACGATCCGCACTCACTAAAAGAGTCATTCTTTCTCAGCTACTCACTATTTGTGGGTCGTGGCATTCATACTTTACAGCTCTCATCTCATCATCGTGATTGAAACGATGTGCAGAGATTAAACGATTTATTTTCTCTTTCTGTGAGCAGTTTAAGTACGGAAATAAACTTGAGCGTAATGAATAAGCAATGGATCATCACCACATAGATCACAACAACCACGACGACTCGCTGCCATTCTTTCTTGGTTAATTACTTTATGAGACATATTGAGGTGCTGTTCTCCGCAACATGCTTCCAAGTCGGTCGGTAATCTAAAGAGAGGGGTCGAGCCCCATTTAACTTTCCGTTCATTTCCAACGTCAACTTCGACTAAGTTAGTTGGACTACGGAGTCAAACTCATTTTAGATTTTTTTTTTCTTTCACAGTTGTGTTCGGAAGCAAGTGCACATTTATAATGGCGTGGTCGTGGAGGTGGTGGTGGTGGCATGATGGCTATAAACAAGACACTTTTTGTACGATTTGCTTTTCCAACTGTCACGTAATGTTTCTCCCACAAGTTGGTAAATGAACCTTGTAATAATGACGATGATCGCTTTTACCGTGCGAATATAGATCTACATTACACAATCACCACACCACCACCCATGCACTAACCACAGCAAAGGAGTCTCGCCAGTACATACATAATTGCACGTTGGACTCTTCACAATTAAGTTGACACTGGATTGATTTTAATTTGAGCCACGCCGTTATTATGCGTGACTTCTGGATGGACTGTAAAATGAGATGGACGGGTGGACCCTGTGTGCGAAAGCTGATTAAGAAGCGATAATAACAATAATATTGATGATGGTGCAAATTGCTCCCCTTTTATCGTGTGCATAACTTCACTCACGTATTCGCCCCTAGCAAAAATGTATGTACGCGTATCTGTACTGTTCATCCATCTCTGCATCACTAAATACACTGATTTGCTAATAACAAACCAAATCAGTTGTCAATCAAGTGTCTCTCTCCCTCACCAATTCACGTCAGTATTGACCGGACCCAGTGATGCAGAATATATGACGACCACAGCCCAGCAGCTGGCCTGCCATTTATAAATACACATCTAAAAAGGAGTCATCAATCTCATTGTTGCTAATTTCAGCATCGAAATTACTCACCCCGTCGTCACGGCAGCTTTACTCGAGTGCAACTGTCCTCGAATAATTGATCTTATTAGAACTACAAATCATTCCCGAGGCCATTTGTCAACCAGCCCCAGAAGAAGAACAAGTCGTGGTGGTAGCAGTTCGTTGGTTGGTCGAGGTTGATGAGGTGAACAACTCCTCCAAAGAGTTAATGACGTGTGTATGAATGAGGGGAAAGTCACTCCCACCACACGACGACGGCTGCAGAAATAGATTTAAATATGATCACAAAATAGAGCACATCCGCACACACACATTTTCATCGTAACGATCATCATGAGACTTTTATTTCAATTTAATCATATCATCATCAGATTGACTCTTTAAAGCCAAGCTTGCTTACTTTTATGGACTTACTTAACTTGTACCATTCATTTTTTACTTGTTATACATGTAATACGTTTCGTAAATTGGGTATACTTAGCTACATACATATTCTTATGCAGTTAGATTATGTATCTACTTGGCGTAACGTAGCATACATAGTAGTTTGTTCACTCACATTACATACTCAATCAGTAGGAGCACACTTAACATCAAACTTAGCATTATTTTGTGGCTACAATAACGAGAAAACAACGACGTTGGTGATGATGATGAGACATTTGCCGTCGTCGCACTAATCCTAAGGACTAAAATACGTATCAAGTTACATTACATCTAAATATGTATGACATAAAGCTAAATAGACTACACTATGTACTAGGTTACTAAAAATTATGTCTTAATAGGGACGACTTATCGGTAATAGTTTACATAAATTAATAATTCTACTTCTCCCTTCGTTTCCAGTAAAATGGGTAAAAAGTAAATCTGTTTCTTTTTCTTAGTAATAAATACACACGACACGAACAACGACTTTTCTACATCTTTTTAAACGAAAACTATAAAAAAAACCATCGAGTCGAGTCGAAAACATTTTTCCTTCTAAATATTCTATGTGTGTATGTATGCATGCATGTATAAATAGTATTCCTTTGGTTTGTGATGTGATGCGACAACAGACAACAATATGCAACCCGAGCTATTGTTCAGCTTAACAAAACGACGGCATTATTTTCCCAGGTATACAAGACGTGTATACACAATAATAATAATGCTAAATCGTCTTCCATCCATAATTTGTTCCGCAACAAGTGAAGTACATCCAACGTAAGAAGAGTGAGGAAGCTACCAGAGACATTTTTAGTGTTCAAATTTATTAATAATAATAATGCAACTTTTTGTGGTATGGTTTGGAATGAACAATAAACCGCAATTCTTCTGTATTATTATTATTATCATCATCATCCCAACCTCACAGACCATGCAGAAGTATGTACATACAGATACATACAGTGGTTGTAGTAGTCGTTGGATATGGAGAGGCAGGCAACATATTATCGGTGACAGTGCGACTGGCTGACTTAATAATTTATCATTATTAATGACTACACAAACAACAAGATCATAATAATAATGGGATAATGATGAGTCGGCAAAGAGGAAAAAAAATAATTTCCCGAATAAAATCATTATCTTGTAAGAATTAAGAAGAAGGACGAATGAGTGAAATGGAAAGTATAACCTGATGGATTTGCCAAGGTTCTCGTAAAAAGTGGCAACTTTTGAGATATTTTTTTAGTAAAATGAGTAATAAATTTATATCGTAAGAAATGTATTTAACGATGGATGGATTGATGGATAGCTAATAATTTAACAACGGCGATGATGTAACGACGCAAAAATAAATGGGCGTTGGTTTCATTTATGATGACTACATTTACATTAGTGGAGGTAATTTAATTGAAAAATTCTAATAATAATTCTGCCCACGTTTTCTCCCATGTAAAACAGTGTCACTATTTATCTACCAAGAATAACATAAGATCGGGTCGATTATTATTATTATTCATTTAGAGAATGGATTGATTTTAATAATGAAACGCCTTGTCACCACATTACGAATTTAGAAAGTAGGTGATTTATTTCACGCCGTGCCGTTCGTTCGCATGACTAAAAAAAGAAGTGATAATGATGATGAAGCATGGTACGTACCTACCCAACGTGCATAGTGGTCGGTCACATAGTTAACGGATTGGATTATTGGATGGAGAAGAGAGAGATGAGGTAATTGTATTTGGTACAAAAGTATACAACAACAATGTAATACTGATTATTGAGGCAATCCCATCGACACGACTCCACACATCGAGATTCATTCCATAATTTAATATCTCCTCTTGACTAACTACACATACGGAATATTGACTCGCCCCAAATGAAATTCTATCTACGACGACGTGTCTTTTCTACTACCTATCAACACTTACACCCACCCACCCCCGCATAAGCATATACGCGTCGTAGGTATATGTGCACGGCTAATTAATAAAGTTCATGGTATGGTGGAAAGTTTTGGAATGTTTGCACACACCCCGACGACGACGACGACGAGGGCTAAATATCCATTTTTTTTGTTTCAAGCTTTCGTGGTGGGCTTTATTAGAACAATAATAACAAGTCTTAATGAGACGGAGGAGGAGGAGGAGGGTCTGTCGTCGTCCCGTGATACTGTTAATTGCTGGCAGTGATCTGAGCTATCATAAATATTTGTTTGTAATGCGATACACTGCTCGATAACTAAGTAGTGGATCAATTAATATATGCATTCATTTCATGGCGCCTCTGATTATTTATGAGTCAGAAGAATAGTATAAAATTTTGTGGCTTTCTTACACACAAGCTGAGTGACTAACGCGTGGTGAATTTTTTATACATTGAAGTTTTCATAGTACTAAAAAATGCATGATTTGTTTGCACTAACGCATTGTCTTATCGCCCCGAAATATGTATTATGTATATGGTTAAAATTGACTCGTGATTGCATTTCAGGTAAGTAAATAAAGTGTTCGTGACATATAATTCGTCCGTCATCGCGTTACTTAAAACAAAGTGTTTAAAAAATTTGAAATAAATAAAAAAACTGCTCGAATTAAGATATCAGATGGAAGGAGAGCATGAACTTATGAATGAATACGTAATTATCCTCATCATTTAAAATTCTTTCCGGAGTTTAGCACGTCAATAGGAATAATAAGTTGGCCAATTGGGTCGGCATATGTAGGGTGGTGGTAAGTATGTTTTTGTGTGTATGTTTGTGATAAAGGGGGAGCGGAAGTAATGCAATTGCTTGGACAGAACTAAGTTATTATGGAAGGAAACGCAATATTTGGGGTACACGAGTAACAGCAGACCGTTCTAAAACCGAACTGGTAACGTTTGTGTGTACTGTGTGTCAACTAGTTTCCCTTATCACCCTCTCCGATCCAAGTTTAAAACCTCTGATTGCATGATGCTCACTTCTACGAATGAGAAGTTTGCTTGTACTTGTGACGCTGTCATTTTGTAGTATGGAAAGAGTAGAATAATAAGAAATGACACGTCAACCGGTTCCATTTCACGTTACGTTCCGTTCCGCCTTCTCCTTTTCCCAGGAGTTGTGGTACAAAGAGACCAGTTACTTACTTAATAAATAAATAAATAGACGAGGAGGGAGAAACGAGACATGATTATCCCGAAGGAAAGGATGAAATGAAATGCATACACGAATTGTGGCCAAGTTTGTGGGTTTTTGAAACAGGATTTTCTAAACTTGCAAAAATTGTCTGGAAATATGGAAATGACGGGCGTTACATATTTTTAGTTGTTGATCATGATGAAGACGACGACTACGTTGTTACGTAATATTGTTGTTCTTGTTGCTGCTGTCGAGTGATGACGGGTCGAGCGACGACGAGATGATGACAATGACGACGCCGACGACAGAGATCAGTGTGTATGCGTATCGTGGCGGTGGTTGTTGAGGTGGTGGTGGTGGCTGGATGGATGGGTGGACTTAGTGGGTCGAGGGAGGGGACTCTGAAGTGAGGTTGATGGGCGAATGGGAGGACTGCGAGGAGGACGCTGGAGAGGCTGCGATATGGTACGAGGCAGCCGTCGCGGCATTCATGTCCATCTGACTTTGAGGACGCTTCTTTAAAAGTCCGAGGTCATGAGCGCTTTCGAGAAATGACTTGTGCGCTGAGAGGAGTTTTGCCGACTCGACGTCCTTTTTCAACTCCTCCATGTCCCGCTTGAGTTTTGCACGGCGGTTTTGAAACCATGTTATCACCTGCGATTAGAAAAAAATAAAATGTCATAAGTATTCAAAATATGTACCGTCATATAAAATCTACTATGAGAAATCTGTAACTGTGGCGTGGATGGAATTATTTAGATGGGAAACGTTAAGTACAATAATCAGAGACGCAAATGGATGCACATTATCCATCCGAGTCCAACCCTTTTAAGTGGAACGAGGAGTCATGACGTAGAAATCTGTTTTAAAGAACACGAACCCAAAAATTTACATAAACTCTTTTTCGTGCCATGTCCGCTTCCTCCAGAAAAGTATTCCCATTTCTCTCCTAATTTATTCAGGGTTGATTTTTCGTTTAAATTTAGTATCATCAAGGAGAGAGAATTATTGGGATGAGATGAGGCTGAGGAGGAAATTAAGTCCACTCCAAGCCTACAAATGAAGCTTTATTAGGCCAGGAAAGAAGAAGAGCTATGAGACCGAGCTCTATTTACCAACATGTACATTTTCCCTTTTAGGAGAATAAGCCCATCCCGCATTCTGATTGCGTCTCTCTCTCTCTCGACCGACTTAATGGGACTATTACTACCAAAATTGACAAGACGCAACCATACCACAAGAGTTGGAAAACACGTTTCGAAAACCGCTTTTGGGGTGAGACTGACTACTTTTCAAGAGAGAGATTTCATGTTCCGTAATAAATAGGAAGCACACACCGAACAAAGCAAAACAACCATCTCATCATCATGGTCCGTGCATGCATGTTAATAGTTTTGGTTGGTCGGGCTGTGAAAATATCAGTGTAGTAGTAAAACCTCGTCCAATTTACAATAGTCAAAATGGGTCCAATCTAATGGGCAGGTCTGCTAGGCAGGTATATAATGTTGTGACTTTAGGCACAGTGTTAATCTGTTCGGTTAATCCACCACCACTTTGGACAGCAGGTGCAGAAGGTGCCCTCGTCGTCATAAAATAGGCATTTATTACCAACCAACCAACCAATTTCTCCCACAAACAAAACAGCGTGGTCAAAATTAGGAGAATTAGGAATTAAAGTCAATTCAGCTGCGTTACTAACTAACCAACCAACCAAAGTCATGATTGTTTAGCGTTTGAATAATATGCATCCGTTCCTGGTTTGTTTTTTTTGGTTCGGTTTCGAATTTCTTTTTATAATCTCTCCAAATACGAGGTGCGGCTGTGTATGCTTGGAACGCGTGCTCTTAAAACGGTGATTTTCTAAAGTGCTCTCTTCTTTTTTTATTCGTCTTCCTCCTTTGTCAGGTGTCAGCCGACGGGAACGAATTTGCACATTTAGCTGATATTTATAATAATGTGAGTTATCATTCATTAGTTTGTTTCTTGGTTTTGGCTTTGCGGAGAGATAGAATTGCCTATATTTGGACATGCACAATATAGGATACGACGACAAACCCCATCCACAGTGTATTTACATATTTACATGTAAGCATTATTAATATTTAGCCATTTTTGTCGTCCACATAAATGTTGCTGGTCAAATCCATACGAAGAGAAGGACTTGAATAGTTTATCTGTAGAAAAAGATGACATTTTTTCTATGTATTTTTACCTGTGCATTTGTAAGTCCTAGTTGCTGCGCTATGTCGTCCCGGTCTGCGGGAGACAGGTATTTTTGGTACAGGAAACGCTTCTCTAATTCAAAAATTTGATGATTAGTGAAAGCCGTTCTAGATTTTCTCTTCTTTTTGGGAGGTTGTCGGCCAGAGAACATTTGGTGATCGGCTCCCCCTCTTCCGTGATCTGCAATGTGTACAAAGATTTCAAAAAATTAGTCATTTTGAAATAATAAAATTTTTCACAAGTTTTTGCGTGAAAGGTTCCAGTGCAAAAGTTTCACTTTACCATTATTAAAAAAGGGTGTATGAAACATTGCCATAAAATGCATGCAAATACTTAAAAATAAATCGACCATCTGCTCGATTATGAACATGTCCATGAATTTAATTTCTGGGGTCACTATTTCATTTCTGAAATATGAATCCACTATAATTTCTTTTAAAATACCGATACACTCAGATTTATTGTAAGTAGCTACTTTATAATGATAATAAAATATTAACATTTCTCCTCAGAAACCTATCATCCATTTAGATGAAAAGAGAAATTTAAAACTTGACGTAGATGCATAAACTATGAAAATAAGTGGTACGATGGCTGTGTTTGTGTCGTGCCAGGCAAAGGCCGGTCTTGTTGCATGATATGTGATGACCAAAAGGAAGGGAAGGCATCCAATCCAGGATGGTGCTGTCATTTTTTATCCCGTGAGGTGTGTTCTTCTCCTATCTGTTCTAATAGTGTAAAAAACGCTGGTCGGGCTATTACCATTACTGCCTCTCGCTGTATATGTGCTGCTCTATCTGGCAACTGTTACGTCCATTTTATTCACCTCCCTCATAACAATCACCCCGTCTCTTCCTCCTGGTTGGGAAGAGAAGTTCATTATCTCGTCAAAAGAATGAGAGATTACGCTTAATTTTTATCCTCTGCCACGGAAAGAAAGAAAGTGCGATGACGATAAGGAAAAACGGACCTCTTTATGCACACACCTAGTTTGTTACGTTATGCATTAAAAGGCAACTTGCATAACTTACATATATGACAATTAAAGGTCATGTTTTTAAGTTGAACTATTATTACGGGGTCCAATTAAGGACTGCATTTCTCACATGCGCTTCCCTCTCTCGCGAGTTAATTATGTGCAAAAAGGTAAATTAACGAAAAATTCGATAGAACGTCATCCTTTGTTTTTGTTACCAAGCGTGCACACATGGAATAATTTTTTCGTTTTCGTCGTCGTCGTTGGTCTCCTTAATTAATTGAATCGCTCCCTCGCTAAATTGGTCTGTTAAGTTAATGAGGTCTGCATGGCCATAGCACTCTCGTGGTACTTACTCCCATTTAAAATCTACTAGAACTTGGTTGGTTAACACGTTTCAGAAAAAAGAGGGATGTACATTTCAACTCGCCAATTATCGTGACGAGTCAGCCAAACGAAACCCGTGGAGGGTAACCGTTTAAAAAAGACGATATTTCGTGTCCATTTTTGAGACGAATATATGCATGTAGCAGTAATATTTATATTCGGAGAGAGAGAGAGAGGAGCAATCATTATTCGATTAAGGAGTGAATAAATCGAGGCTTATCGATTTATGTCAAGTGTGCATGTCATTTCTGTCACGACATGAAATTGAACCATGTCTCCTCCTCGGCAGTAAGTAACGTGGAGGTGATTGGGTAGGATATACATATTAAGAAAGATTTTTACACGGGAGCCATTATCCTCGCAGACACGGTAAGTATGTAAATGTACGAATGAATGCTGCTTTCACCACCATCATGACGGGCGCAAATATTATTATGTTATCCTATTCTGCGTTCCCCTCATTACCAGTCTCACTATCATCGCCCTTCCTCCTTTCGTGGTGGTGGTGGTGGTTATCTCAATTACTGAGCATGCATGCATTTCGCCTGTCTCCCATTATGACGTGAAAGCGTAATGATATGTACCACGAAATGGTGGTAGTGACAGACTTATCACCAATAATGCAATCGTCAGCCCAGTCCAGTTGCGGGGGACTCGTCGTCGTCTCCTTAAATAATATTGAGCCGACTACTGCCCAACATTTTATCCAGCTTAGCTTCCCATCATAATTTATTAGGATGAAATATTCCCCCATGGCTGCCACGTCACGACCCATCATCGGTTTCGGGGCTGACAACTTAAATGAAAAAAAACTGACTAGCCATTCGAACCTGCCGTTCTCAATGTGCAGGTATAATAATCCATCCACTACCCACCAGCACCTTATCCACGGCTCTCCCCATTACATTATGAGTGATGCAAGTAGTCGTCGTCGTCGTAGTGAGTTAGTTGTTGTTGATGATTCCGAATGGCTGACATGACACGGAGGACGCGGCCCATTGTGTGTCCGACTCGTAACAACAAACGCAGACATAGTTTTCCTCTCTAATGTACGAGGTCCTAGTTGATTACTTTATTATTTGGTTAGACTTCCAGCAGCCTTGTTTGCCACCACCATGGATTCTCATTCATTGTGTGTGAAAACTTAATTCTGAGTCGTCGTCGGATACATTATTACTTACATTTATGATACGCTGCTAAACCAAATAACCATCCATCCATCCACCCACCCCGTCGGTTGACACATAACACAAGGTGGTGGTGGTGTTGGAACAATGCGATGGAACACAATGCACCGTTTTGACGAGTGATTCCATCATTCCGTGTACAATAATGGTCTTATTATTATTATTATGTGGCTCCCTTTCCGAGGAGACAATTTTATTCAATTGCCTTTAACAATGTGTCACGGGGAAAATGATTACCTACTCAACTTATGCACCAATCAGCTCAATATTACTCGAGGAAGGATGAGATTGATGGATTATGGGATTCGACTTACCTAAATAAAGGAGATTTAATGCGTAATGAAGTGATGCAACCAGACTCTGAGGATGGGAAGGAAGGGTTTGAACACGAAGAGTCAATAGCACAAAATCAATCTGAATTACGACTCCTGTCACTTCAAATTTAGAATAATTCATCGCCCCCAAAATAGGATTGGATGGCGTAAGGATTGGGATTTGTATCCAGTTTGTTCCTACTTTTCGAGATGAAATCAATCTAAATTTGTGGAAAGTAAGTGACTCGCTTCTTATTGATGGGCCTAATGCTAATGAGTGTTATCTGTGTTATGGGCCACCTATCGTCACGTGGTTTAGGGTGGGTGAAAAAGTTTGGCAGGAGCAATTGAGAAATATTCGACACGATTTCCGACCTCAGACCGAATTGATTGCATTTATTTTATTTTACTTTATTTTCCTGCTGCCCGTAGACGACAGAAGAAAGAAAGCAAATCAATTTCGAAAGGCATGATAAATCTCGCCAACTTGACACTTTCCTCGATCTGGTAACCCCACCGGGTGCACGTCGTGATTTATTGGCTCCTCCTTCCTCCTCCCCAGTTCAAAATTCACTTATTGGATTTCCCTTAAAACATCCGGATAGATGAAAATTTGGGCATGGTAGAAATCCTGGATTTACGTCTATACGTCTTCATAACGGGGAATGACGAGAGCTTGTCTTTTAACCGATGAGACTGCGACCTTAACATATTTAGCTTAGTGGAGAATTATTTGTAGGTTTGCTGACAGTCTTGTAAAGCTGACTTGTCAACTTTTCATTAACTCCTTGGAGACTTGTAAAATAAACAAAAGTTGTGCTGGAGGATCTGGCCTAGAAAAGTAAAAGTTTTCCTGTGCCAAGTTTTAATTCCCATAAAATTATTTCCCGTGCAGTCTCCTCCTCTCCTCGCCGAGTGTAAGAAAATTTTAATAGTGGTTTGGTGGGTATAAAGATATTGAGCCATTTAGTTGGCTGGTTGGTTAGAAAGGAGAGAAGAAGTCATCGCTGCTGCTGCGTCGAAGATATGAGGTCATGTTTTTCACTACTCCATTAAACTAACAACTGAACAAGCCTCCAACTTTACGAGGCACTTGATGACATATTCATTTCACCCATTTGAGTACTCAAAATCAAAAAGAGGACCACTTTCGACAACCCAAAAACCAAACTAACCAATCCCACAAATCCATATAATAAAATAAACCAATTTCCCACTTTATCCCCGATTTGGAAGTGTTGGAAATTAAGGAAATGCATGGGAGTGAGCAAGGCCAGCTACGTGTACATGTGCTTTTGCAACAACCCATCTTGTGCTCTTTTCGCCCTGTCCAAACAATTAACACACATTTATTTTTAAGTGGCTTTTGGCTTTCAGCACTTTTCAGCTAAATGTGTGAATTATATTGGTCTCGGAAACAGTGACAACCAATTCCCACCGCACCACAAACTTACGCTTTCCTTAGCCCAGCCAGAACCAGGAACCATTTACCACTTCATTTAACCATGGCTTTCATTGGATCCTATTCTATAGCAGTTTTAGCTCCTCTTCATTTTTTACTAGATTTTTCTACTACTGAGAAAATCGTGTTATTGGAAATCCAGCAGCTTGATTAATCTTTCAAACGGTACTGCCACTTTTTCGATAAAAAACAAAACCGGTAGTATTCCTTCCCTGTGTACGTACGTATATGCATATTGCTTAGGAATATTTATGTGTGCACCTACCACCACCACCACCACCACCATCCCCATAATTTATCCTTGTAGACTTGGATCAATTATTATTAAGAGTCATAAATCAAGGCAATTATAGATCATATCACGGACTCGAGTAGCACTACTACCCACTTCTGCCTACCTTCGAGATAAATCTCAAGTCTTAAATATACTCACCTAATTTAATAGACAAGAGAAACGCCAACTTCGTATCGTTTCTGCTACTAAATCTCAAATTAAGCCGATATCATTACATCATTGATGCGCTGTTGTTATCTACATGTGCACTTAACTATACGACCCTGCCCACGTAGCCAGTCTGTCACTCGGTATAATACTCCTGTGCATAATACGATATTTATTGCACGGCCCAAACCCTTGATTTGAATTCATTCTGATTTTGATCGATGTGACGGATAACGAAGTTTCTAATGGGGCTAAATTTATATTATCTTTGAATTACGGGGAGAGTTTTTTTCGGCATCGTTATTATTATCCTAAGTCAGCATTTAGCGACGATTTCAGTCGTCGAAAATAATAATAACATGGATGGATATCTACGTCCCCACTTATTTTTTCCCTTTGACAGGACAACTTG